GGGCTTCATAGGCTTTCTCAGACTGTCAAACTGTCACAAACAAGGTTAAAGATTGTTGTTTCAGACCAAGGGTTGTAAACCTTTTTCTCACAGGGTCAGATAGTAAATATTTTATGCTTTGTCAGGTATCTGATCTCTGTCTCAAATATTCAGCTCTGTCATTGTAGCAGGACAGCAGCTATAGACAATACCTAAACAGACAAACATAGTTGTGTTCCAGTAAATCTTTATTTACAAAACCTGGCAGCTGGCTGAAGTTGCCACCCCCTGGTTTAGAGGGTCTTGTCATTCCTAAGGTCAAATTCTGCAGCTATTTCAGTTCAGCTCAAGCACCTTTTACTGGATACCTACTATGTGCATATGTTCATCCAAGTGTGTATTATACTATTGAGTATCTTCTATGCGTACATCATACACTGAGCTCTAGGTGCTTCAGTCTGCACTCCCCCCGAAGATGCTCTACTCCTTTTCAGTTTTGCAAACCCAAATCCATTCAAAATCTAACTTAAGTTCTTCCTGGTCCTCATAGGCCTTCCCTAGGATGTCCGTTCTTATTGGCCCATTCAAATGTAGCTCTTGAAATATGCTGGTCTGCACTGGCTTCCTACTGATCTTTAGATGTATTGTCTCTGGATTAGATTATAAACTCCCTGGGAATGGAACTGTTTCTATTCCTTGGAGCCTTCAGAATATAGCGTCTGTGATGGATGCCCTATTGATGATCATTAATCACTTGACAATTGACCAGCCCAAGGCAGCTACCTACTGGGTTTGATGGTACCAAGAAAAATGATTGTTCACTAAGGATGAGGTTCATAATGGGAGAGGCGGTTAAAATGGCAAAAGAAAAGGAATAAAACAGAAAAATATACCACCCAGTGGTTCTGTGACTTTGGATAAATTATTTCCTTCAGTGTCCACATGGCTGCAATGAGAGACTCAACTAGGCCAGTGACTCTTAAAGCTTTTGAGAATCTGATAGAAGCTAAGGACCCTTTACTTAGAAAAATGAAAGGATGTTCACACTTAAAAACTTCCAGGTAAGTTTTGAAAGCCCTCAGACACTCGGACCAAATGATCTGTAAGGTTCCCGATAACCAGGCTGGATCCTACATTGTCAGTGGTAGTGCCTCTTCCCACACAAATGAACCAGTGACTGAGTCTCGATTTACTTGAATCAGCCAATTGGGATGTGAGTAGCCACTACTCACGCACTGCATGTTCCCACCTGAACAGCCACCTTCCAAAGGTGTTCCACTGATCCCCTGAGACGCAGGATACCCGACCCAACCCTTTCCCACTATTGGGAAACGTGCCTACAGTGCCCATCCGCTGGTGGTTGCCCATTTTTACCTGGAATGGCGGCACAATCTTAACCTGCTTCTCTCCTTGCCTTTTCCTTATTGGGAAAATTGGCAGGCGAGTGTTGCTATGGTGATTTGACTGGCAACTTTGTAGTTAGAATGAAATACTTTTCTTTAGTTGAAAAAGATAAAGCTATTGTTTGAGGAGGATCTAAGACAATCCTTTTGCTGGGTTATCTCTTTCCCAACCTCACCTTTGCACTTTTGTACCTTGAGAGATTCTAAAAACATTTAAATGCAAAACCCATTACAAAATCAGAGGCAAAATGTTAAAGGTTTTGAACTGCTATTCAATGTGCATGAGCTTTCCTCTCTGGCTCTATATAGTGAAATTAAAGGTTAATGATTTTAATCTCTTATTTGCTTTGCTGAAAATGTAGCTTTCTTCCCTGCCTTAAATGAACACATTCAAAATAATCCCCCTTTTGTGGGGGGAGAAGGGAGCAGTAATTTTTGTGTGAAGATTGTTGCAGATATTTGCCAGTAGCCCTGGGCAAACAATGGCATCAGGGAGCAGTTACAGGCCATTTCCCCTATAAATGCCACAAGGAAGTTTGGCAAAGAATAACAGGAGAGTTTTATCTAAAGATCACATCTTTTCTGACTTTACTTTTAGGGTACTCCCTGTGGCTTTCCTCTGTGAAGTGATTTTATTCTAATTTGAGCTTGTAAATGTGTTTCCTTCCACTCACTGAGGTGTACTCTTTGATGACAAAGTTAGTTTATGTGAGAAGTTCATCTTTTGGGAAAGGATATCAAAAAAGAGAAACAAGTCCTACTTCCTCCAGTGGGCATGCCTTGTGACCTCTGCTTCTCCAAACATGTGGATTCTTAGGAGATATGGACCCCACAAATTACTCATCTGCACGGTGAGCCTGAGGAAGCATCTTTTACTGAGCTTAAGGACTCCATTTGGCTTTCAACAATTCCTGCTGATGAGAAACTAGGCCAGCACTGCCTTGCCTCGAAATCTGTGCATCATCCAAGCATCTCCTTTCAGCAAAATCAGTCTCTATTTCCTTGCCCGATAAATTGTTCATAAAGAACTAACATCAATATATTTTGCTTCCTGCCTTCTTCTAAATATCTGAGCAGAGGTGTTTAAAAATAAAACAACTGAGAGGCGGTCAGGAAGCAAGCTAAAGGATGGAGAAAAGCTCCCCAACCACTATCACCCCCAATTTTCATCCAGTACCAAGGATCTTCTTAATCTAACCTTCCCCCATCAACCCAATATGGCCTCACTGTTTATCAGCTGGGTGGCCTCGGGCAAGTTTTTAGCTGTTTAATGCCTTAGTTTCCTGTGTAAAAAAGGGGGATGGAGGGGTGTTTAACATTAGTATCTACTGCATGGGGTAGTTGTGAGAAGTAAATGAATGAAAGTATTAGACCAGTGCTTCGTCCAGTGGCTCCTCCTTACTCCTGGCTTCACCATCTGTGTTTGCAATTGCCCATGGTCAACCATAGCCCCAAAATTATTAAATAGAAAATCCCAGAAATAAACAATCCATAGCTTTTAAATTACACACCATTCTGGGTAGAGTGATGAAATTTTTTACTCTCTCACCTGGGACTTGAATCACACTTGTCCAGCCTCACCACACTGTACACGCCACCCACCCTTAGTTACTTAGGAGCCACCTTGGTTATCAGATCCACTGTCACAGTATCTCAGCGCTTGTGTTCAAGTAACTCTTACTGAATAATGGCCCCAAAGCACAAGAGTGATGATGCTGGCAGTTCAGATATGCCAAAGAGAAGCTGTAAGGTGCTTCTTTTAAGTGAAAAGGTGTGATGAGATATTTTGAGAGAGAAAGAGACCACCTTCACATAGCTTATATTACAGTATGTTGTTAGAAGTGTTCTATTTTATTGTTAGTTGTTAATCTCTTACTGTGCCTAATTTATCAATTAAATTTTGACCTAGGTAAGTATTTATAGAAAAAGAACATTTTATATATATATATATATATATATATATACACACACACACACACACACACACACACACACACACACATGTTCAGTACTGTCCATGGTTTCAGGCATCCACTGGGGGTGTAGGAACATACCCACCATGGATAAGGAGGGACTACTGTACTTAATAGGAACTTGATAAATGGCGGCAATTATTAGATACTAACACAAAGCCCCCACTCCACTTAGGCCTCTCGCATTGCCCCCAGGCTTGCACAATCATTCTCAAGTTTAATCTTGCAACTCTTATTACCTGGAATGCTCTCCTTTCTCTCACCAACTAGGAAGTCCATACAGAGCAGCACTATCCAGTAGAAATACAATGCAAGCCAATATGAAAGTTGAAGTTTTCTAATCAGGGCATTATAAAGGTAATAAACAAGTGAGATTAATTTTAATTACATTTATTTTTATCCCACTACATCCAAAAAATCCTTTCAATATGTAATCAATGAGATAGTTTATATTCTTTTCTTTTTTTTTTTTCTTTAAAATCTAGTGTATGTTTTACACTCACAGTATCTCTCAGTTCAGACTAGCCACATGTCAGGGGCTGACTAGTCTCATGGGCTAGTGCTACTGCATTGGAACACACAGGTGTAGAGTCAGCAGGTGGCCCAGGGCTGCCTGCTAGCTGTGATGCGGGAAGTCCCTTAGGTAATGGCTAACACAGGCTGAGGGTTGACAGTGGGATGCCAGGCACTCTGCTGAGGATAGAGACCTCATTCCATCTTTAGGACAGCCCTCTTAGACACATACAGTAAAACCTTGGATTGCGAGTAACTTGTTTTGCGAGTGTTCCGCAAAATGAGCAAACATTTCTAATATATTTTAACATGGTAAGTGAGCGATGTCTTGCAATACGAGTAGTTTGTTTCTGGAGCTAATTATATTTGCAAACTAAGGTATTACTGTACTTTCATTACCCCCAATTTACAGATGAGATCGTCGAGACTTAAGGAAGTTAAATATCAGCTAATAGCTAGTAGAGGCAGGGTTTGAGCAGCTGTGTCCAACTCCAGCGTTTGTACTCTTATTTTCTGTATGTTGCCTCCCAGATGGGAACTCTGAGTGAAGGTCTGCGCTCTCTTTAGGGTTCTCAGAAGGACATGTGAAAATTCAGCAAGTTGTCCCAGTTGTACAATTTTGTTAAGAGTCGGAAGACTAGCCATGGACAGCATCTTCTTCGGTTTTCCCATGGCGACGCCTACAAATTAGTCACCCCGTAAAACTTACATTTGTTTATTTTGTGAACAGATTGTGAGTAGATGGAATCTGTGCTCCCCTGACCTCTGGGAATGGGGACGATTAGGGGAAGGCTTGTTTATGAAACATCTGGAAGGCAGAGTCCTTGAAAATGAACTGCTATGTGGGGATCTTCTCGCCCTAGTCAAGGCCGTGAGGGGAAAAGTGAGCGATTTTTGAACAGTGCTTAAAACTGGCCCCCAAAAAAATGATCTACTTGCTTTTATATGCAGGGACTTGATGACCCATGATATAAAATAAAGATGACTTTTAGATAGGAAATGGGAACTCATTTTTATAAGTATGGCTTCCCGAGTTCAAAAGCTGTTAGTTTACATCGCCAGGAAGTTTCCCTTTCCTCTGCTATTTCTGAACAACTGCTTCTTGTTTTGCTTTATTTTTTAATCAATAAAGACCGGATTTCGACACGAGTTGGACCTTAATCCAAGAGCAGATCCAGGTGGACTCCATGGTTATCAAGGGTCTTGATCCGGGTACCAACTACCAGTTTGCTGTGAGGGCCATGAATCCCCACGGCCCCAGCCCCCGAAGCCAGCCCAGTGACACCATCCGAACCTTCCGTGAGTACCGGGGCCCTTCTGAAGGGCAGATGTAGCTGCATGGCTGAGGTTGCCTCCCATGGGCCCACTTGCTTGGGGTTTCTTAGTGCTGTGTTGAAGGGCAGCCTGCAATGGAGCTATCTTCAGCCTTTCCTGCTGTACTTTTCTTAGCCCTTTGGAAGTTAAGAGACTTTCACCAGGGACACAGGCTGTTTCTATGAACAGGAGGTCAGCAGCAAGTTTATTTTTGCATCATCCTTAGGGAGTTTGAAGTCAGTTTTCTTTTACAATCACAGAACAGACCACATACCAAGATGATGTGCAGCCTCCCCTGAGCACCCTTCTATCTTTAAAAAAAAAAATGGATTTGGATTCATCTTAGAATCACAGAATTAAAAATAATGCTCCCAGGTTCTTCAGGGAAGGGTTGGTGTTTGCCTGCAAATCAAGGACTCTCAGCTAACATCAGTCCCTCTGAACTATAGTCAGGGAGAATCAAAGAAGCCATTGGCATGCTGACATGTACCTGGGGGTCTAGCTGATGGCCTAAGTTCCTTTTTGTCTTAGTGCCTCTCTAGGGTGCTGGGGTAAGCTTGGGCATCTCTCAGATCTCCTGAGGATTTTGTGAAATGTAAGATTCAGATTCTGGTCTGGTTTTTAAGAAGCTCTCATATGATTCAAGGACTTCACTTGGATTACTTAGGCCACCTTGCCAACTCCTGTTTAGACATCTTTGTCTTTGGAAGTGAAGGACATTTACATAAACTCAGAACTCTGTGTAGTAGGGAAATCTCAGAACTGAAATGTTGGCACTTTTTTTTTGGTTTGAAGGCTCTGTAATCTTTTCAATTTTGTCAATAAATTCCTCCAGGTTCCTTTGCCTGCCAAGCCCTGCTGTCACCCCGGGTCCTCTTCACCCAGGAAAGGAGCCTACCTGACATTGTCGGTTGGCTTTCCATTGGCCAACACAGAGCCCTGTTGATATCGGTTAGGGGATCTGAATAAACTCCTCTCCTCTCCTCACAAAACACCCACACAGCTGAGTTCCAAGGTCACCACTGTTTCCAGGGGTGGAGATTCACCAAGTCCTAAGAATTCTGGCTTTTATGAAAACAGCCCCTACCCTAACCTTGAATGTCAGGGCTTCTTCCTTCAGATTGAAATGTTGGGGGATATGGAGCTATAATGAGGAAACACACACACACACACACACACACACACACACACACACACACACTAACTATGATCATCCAGCAGTTGTTTTAGTCCTTTTCTTTAGAATTTAGAAACTAAAACTCCTCAGGCATATGGCAAGGAATGAAACTCCTTCTTTCTAGAAGAAATGTTAATGATTCTATTGCAAATTGAAGGAAAGCCTCCTTCCACTCTTGCTACATGAGATCTGTGCTACAATCTTTGTTTAAACTTTATAATGCATGGCCCAAAATTGGGGTAACAGGAGCTGGGACAGGCCTCGGATCTGACTGTATTTTGAACACGTAGTTTGTCTTTTCCTGTTACAAACTGAGCAGGCACCCTGTGTTGTGTGACCACCGCACGCTTCCCCAACCTCGAACCCTTCTGCCCCCATGTCGTGAGCTGTCCCATGCCCTCCCCTTTCCTTCCTTCTGTTCTTTAGTATCTCCTTCTCCACAGAGACAAGAAAGTAGAAGGATGCGCTAGGATTACCTTTGCTGGCCCTGGACGTGGGTATGGAGACTAGAGTCAGGGAGGGAGCATAGGTTCGCGCATCTCTTGAACTTTTTCTTTTTAAACTGAAACACTGGTTGGTCTTGGAGTTTCTGATAATCATTTCCCCATTGGTGGATCTCAGTTTTGTGGATTAAGTGGGATAAGGCATGTGAAAGTGCTTTACAGATACGTAACATTTCATTACAATTGGCCTCCTGTGTGAAGTAAAATTCTATCGTTTCAAAGTAATTGTGTGAAGGAGAGGTGGCTGATTCAGTGAAACTCTCAGTTGTGAAATATTCTTTTTTTTCTTTTTTTAAAAATTTTTATTGTTAGTTTCAGGTGTACAGAACAATGCAATAGTTATCCTTTTCACGCTCACAAATTAACAACCCCCCTCCCCCCAGAAATATTCTTAAATAAATACAATTTAACTGCTTTTGCATATATATATATGGTTACTCAAAGCAGGATAACAGAAATAGAATTTGTTAGACGGCCTTTTTCATGAATACAAAAGAATGTGCTCTAATTGGTGTTTCATTGCGGCTTTTTCTCATGAGCACTTCTAATGTTTTAGAAAACCCCATATTCTGGATCTTGCACATGTCTTATTTTGTTATTAGTTTAGACTATTATTTTGCTTCCAAAGCCCATTTTCCCCATATATAACATTACCTAATTATCAAATAGCACTTATTTGAAATATAATAAATTCTAGATACTAGAGCTATCATTGTGAAAGCCCTCTATGAGCCAGGCACCACACCGAGCACTTCACCTAGGAAATCCCATATTAATCCTTACAAAAACCTTGTGCTGGAAGAACAGTATCCCTTTTTATAGATTTTTTCAAAAACTGAGTCTTCGAAAGGTTACGTATTTTGTCAAGAATAATCATTGTCAAGGCAGGATTTGAACTCGGGTTTTGACTGACTGCGAAGCCACTTCCTTGACTGAGATTTAAATTAAAGGAGGTTCTTATTCTTCTAAGGCAAAGTCGGCAATTAAATAAAGTACAGGGGACAGTCTTTTTTAAAATTTTATTGGGGAACAGCCATGGTCATTGGCTACACATTGCTTTCATGCTACAATGGCATCGTTGACTTTTGTTTTAAGGAGGACGCAGCTCACAGTGGTCCATGTGGGGATCGAACCAGCAATGTTGGTCTTATCAGCACCACGCTCTAACCAACTGAACGAACTGGTCACCCCAGGGGACAGTCTTTATAGAATCTATGCACTAACGAAGTTCGGACAGCACAGAACAAACCTATAAGAATTTCTTTTTCTTTTAAAACTTGTGAGGTATATTGTACATAAAAAAAAATGTGAGTGAATCATATATGCAGGCCTTAACTTCAACCTGTATGCATCGGCATAGCCCTGGGAGGTTATACCAGCAGCCCTTCTGATTGGTTAGACCAACCCCAGCCAGTTGGTAGATATTTTGAACATGGCCCTGAAGGAATTTATGAGGCTAGTATTTCCATAATACCTGTAGGGCTTTCCCACTCTCCCTGCTCCTGTTCCTCCCCACCTCAGGGTCCTTCCGACGTGGATGTTTTCTTGGTGTGATGCCCACTTTGCTCCTGAACGTGAACTTCAGAACACAAGGTTCCAGCTGACTGCTGAGGCACAGAGTGCCCTTGGGGACCCTTTAGATCCCACCCTGGACACCGCCGCTTCCTGGGCTCCTGTGTTGCCTATTTTAGGCCAATACCCACCTCCGTTTCAAAGGAAAAAAATAACACTTCAGCTCTACTAACTAACAAAGCATTGACTTCCCCTGGACCTATTCATGCCAGACCTTATTAGCAGCTTAATTGCTTAATGGGGCAACTGGTAGATCTCAGTTGCTTTTATGTCTCTAGTTAATGAAAGCCAGGGCCCAGCGTTTCCCTTAATTGGCGCTCAGCCTGAGTGAGGAAGGAGGAGGGTTTTGATGGCTTCGCTGGAGTGCTGCGAGGCGAGCTGAACAGTCACCTCTTACCTCAGCTCCACAAAGCTACGGTAGAACAGAAAGAAAATATTAAGATGTTTTAGTGTCCAAGTCCTCTAATGAGACATAGAAGTACCTCAGTGACTGAGAAAAATGATGCTACCTTGTATTCATTTCCGTCCTCTCACTGGGGGCTTTGCTCACATGTCAGTGGCCCTTCTGTTCCTCTAAAGAAATATAAAGACAAAGATCGTGGTCTTCACATTTCATCCATGCTGCTCTTTTTTCTTTCTGTTTTTTTTTTTTTGTCTTCAAGAAAGAAACCCCAACGACATTATAATTTACCTTAGTGTTCCGTGGCATTATTATTTTTTTCTCTGTGGTCGATCTTATAAATTAGCCAGTCAGAACGGGGGCTCTGTGGAACCTCACCTACATGGGTGCCTTAGTAGGACATATATTTGCCCCGCCCGGCAGCCACTTATTCTCTGGGATCCAACCTTAGCCTGGTCAAGAAGGACGATGGAACAAGTCATGAAGGACATGAACTGTAAATACTAGAAATGGCAAACAAAAAATCAAACAGCGTTTTCTTTCTTTTTTGCCAAAGAGAAATGAAATGAAGTGAACCTTGACTCACATGTATGACCAACTTTGGGATGATATAACCTTCCCTAGCAGGTTATATAACTCTACCACCCTAAACCATTTAATTCCTCATGTTCTATCCTCATGATATAGGCAGAGAAAGGAGCAATAAATTCTTCACTGAAATGAAGTTGGTATCCTCAGGGCAGTCCCCAGTAGAAGGTGTTCCTAGCAAAATTCATTTGCTCTTTCCTGCCTTGGGACTTTTGCACCCTCTGTTTCCTCTGCCTAGAAGTCCCTCTCACCAAATTTTTTTCATCACCCCTCACTCCACTTTAGCTCAGATGTCACTTCTTTAGTCAGATAAGCTTCACTGAACTTCACCCTCTCTGCTACCTCAGCCTTACTCCCTGCTTGATTTTCTCCAAAGCCATTTCGCTGCCTGAAACTATTCCTCGTATCCCTCCACCAGGACAAGCTCCACATTGGAGTTGGAAGGACTTGTTCAAAGTCGTGTTTCCAACCCCTGGTACAAAGTAGGCGCTCAATCAATATTTATTGAGTATGTGAATGAATGTGACTTAATAAGACAACAGGCTACTTTGGAGGCTGGATAACTTTCTACTGCTGTTGTCGGGGAAATTCAAACAGAAGACAAGAGGAGAAAGTTAGCCTAGAAACCGACCAGGGTTTCCCCATGGACGAGGTCCATAGGCCAAGTTGAACTCCCAGAATTGCAATGTGATAAAAAATAAAAGGAGGAGGAGGAGGAGGAGGAGGAGGACGAGTAAATAGGAGT